CCTTGAGGGTCCCCAAGCACACTCTGCTTAGCACACGGCCAACTCCACTGAATGCACCTGCTTCTGGAGAGGAACACGGAAGCAGAATGTTAGAGGGGAGGTGCGAGAGAATTGTTCAGCAGAAGCTACAAACCAGCAGAGCAAAAACTGCTAGCTGAGCAGAGCACTGCATTTAATGCAGTATTTTGGCAAAAGGTGACACATGGATTTTAATGAGCAGTTAACATCCACATTTACCTATCAGTGATATTCTGAAGATGTTCTGGMAATTGTACCCTGGATCTACGCATCACATCTTTTTAGAAAGAAAACAAGTGGCTTTTATGTATTAACTGTCCAACTAGATCACTTCACATGATCAAAAATATATACACAGCTGAACTACGAAAGAACAAAGGAGCTCAAAACTAAATTGTTCTTAAAGTTAACAGCAAATGCAGGAACAAAAGTCTGCAGGATTCTCTCCATGTATGACTAACAAGGCAATGCGTTAAAACAACATYTGTCATAGATAAAATGGAGCAGGGACCTGGGAGAGAATCACATCTCATTACCTGAGGCATGATACAACACAGCTTGCCACAGAAGCCAATTTGCCATGCTATGGAAAAAAAAAAGGCAATGTGACTCCACAAACTCTAGCCACAACCCAAAGCAAGCTATCTATGATACAATCCATCTGTAAACCGGTGGGACTGCTGTCCCTCTTTCCTCCAGGCTTTGAGGAAAAGCCATGATACAGAGTCCCAACTGGCAACTTGTTCCCATTTGGCTTAAGGTCGCAACACCCTGTATGGGAAACAGCAGCAGCAGATGCCATCTGTGGCAGCGAGTGAGAGGCTCCCACACTGCGGTGTTGGTTTACATCCGTCTCACACTGAGAACGGTATCTTAGAAGGCATAAAGGGAAGTGGTTTAGTGGTAAATTAGCGGGTAAGTCCACATGTGCACTCATAACGTATATGGGAAGTGAATAATCTCTGTTTACCTGATGTGCTCTTCACCACAGATAAGAATCGAGTCTAGAAATTACTTTTAAAACTGTAAGAACATCTAACCTTTAGTCAATGATAAGAGAGAGAATGAAACACAATCGCTCAGCCTGAGATTCAAACCAACCCCCACCTTTCAGGATCTCTTTTTCTTACACACTACCCTCTCCTCTACTAGTAAAAACACATCTAGACATAACCCTCCAGTGCAGGWAGAAAACATGTGGGTATACGTGCCGCAGGTATAAAAACATCAAAATGTCACTCACAATGACAGAGCARGTCAAAAGATGACAGAAAATGAAAGAAGACATATTAGAAAACAAAAACAGAACAGCGATAGAAACAGAAAATTCAGAGTGCAAAATTTGGAAGACTACGTGTGCTTGTAGTAAAAAAACCCRAAAGTGATACAAGGAACAGATAAAAATAATGTTATTACAAAAACATATTGGAATAAACACTGAGAAGATGAGAAGACACACAAAGGATTAATTAAGAACAAGTATTAATTAGTTGTTAGCTAATTTAATTACAAAAATATTAGCACATATGCCTACAAAGATATAAAAGATCTGGTAGGTAAACTATTATTTCAGTTTTATACATCAAGTCAGAATGAACTATTTAAGTCTCAATAAGATGACGAGCATTGAGTGCTTAATTCTTTTTAATTGCTTTTTGAATTTTGTTTATATGAATCTATCATAGCTTATTATAATTAAAATCATAAAATCTACAAAACCTCACGCAGTTAAATGGCTAAACATGTTGAGTTTTAAAAATAACTAATCAAATAGTCTGTTTATGTTTTATATGAAAATGTATTAAAATTTGCTTCTGCTTCTTTCATTCCTGAATGAATTGTTTGCTACTCTTTTTCCTTACTTCTCAAAAGATCCACTAAGTTGACCATATCATTAGAAGTAGTATTCAGTAAAATTTGATCTGAAGTAGCATCAGATATTTAATATCCTCCTTTGGGGATTCACTTGTTCCATTTTTATCTTCCAACCACTTTTATGTATGTATGCATGTATGTATGTACCTACATATGTGTGTATGTATGTAGGATACACTTCAGTTTTAAGACCTTCTAGTATCATATCTATTGTAAAATTAAACACAAATCCAACGTACAAGGAAGGCTCTACTTCACCTTCTACCTAAGTTTGGCATTCGTTTCAACATGAACACAGTCTGGAAGTAGGCTGTCAGTCTAACTTGTTACTCAAGTTTTACTATTTTCACATCCAGAGAATATCACATGTATGTAATTTCCTATGATATTGTTAGCTTTCTTACAACTGAAAAATAAAACACAATAATAAACAGCACATAGGGACAGTGAAAATCCAACCAGTAGGAGAGCTTCCACTGCCCTGTGCATCAAAATATGCATATATAAATAAGAGAAGTGACAGATTAGGAAGGTAATCAGCTCCACAGGACATGGGACAAAAGAAACCCTGTGTATGGGGCAGATGAAGCAGATCTGAATGACTGAGGTTGGAAGAAATCTTTGGAGATCATCCAGCCCAAGCCCCTGCACGAGCAGGGTCRCCTGTAGGACACTGCGCAGAATGATGTCCAGGGCAGGTTGAACACCTCCAGAGCGGGAGACTCCTTCAATTTCTGGGTGCTCTGTTCCAGTCCTCTCTTATCTTCACAATGAGTACGTTTTTCTTCAAATTCAAACAGCCTTTACTGTGCCTTTAAAATGCAGTTTGTTATCTGTTGCCTCTTTATCTTGTTCTTTGCCACCATCCTCTTAACACCCTCAAGATGACGRCACACATTGCCAAGATGCCCCCTCAGCCTTCTTTAGGCTGGACAGGCCCAGCTCTCTTGGGCTCTCCTCACAGGAGAGATGGTCTACGCCCCAACCATCTCTGTGGCTCTACGCTGGACTCCAGTAGCTCCACGTCCCTCAGTAGTTCAGAACTGGACGCAGCATTCCAGATGCAGCCTCACCAGGGCTGAGTAGAGGATCTGCTCCCTCGACCTGCGAGCAACACTTCCTAATGCAGTCCAGGAGACCACTGGCCTTCTCGGCCACAAGGGCTCATGGTCACCTTGTTGTCCACYAGGATTTCCTGGTCCTTCTCGGTAGAGCTGCTCTCCTGCTCCCACAGAATGTATTGGTGCTTGGAGTTATTCCTAGATGTATGCACCTCCACTTGCCTTTGCTCATCTTCTGATGGTTCCTTTCCAACCAGCTCTCCAGCCTGCCCAGGTCCCTCTGGAAGGTGGCGCAGCCCTCTGGGGTATCAGTCACTGCTCCCAGTTCTCTATCATCAGCAAACTTGCTGAGGGGCCACTCTGTCCCTTCATGCAGGTCACTGATGAATAAACAGGACTGGATCCAGTACAGGTCCTTGGGGGCTACTGCTAGGTGCAAGTAGACTCTCCCTCCAACTAGACTCTCATAACTTCTGAGCTCTGCCACCCCACCAGTTTTCAATCCACCTTGCTGGCCACACTTCCCGAGCTTCCCTATAAAGATGTCATAGTGCCAACAGTKCCAAAAGCCTTGTTACTTTGTTAAGGTAAACGACATCCACTGCTCTCCCTTCATCTACCCAGCACTGGGGCAAAAAGGTAGACCTAATTCATGCACTAGYCTAACTGCTTCCTAACTGCTTCCATCCAATCAGCAAGATATTAATAAATTTGTTGTAACTAAACTGCATGTAAGCAGTTGTGCTAGATAAAAATATATGGGCTGTTGTGCAGATAAATTCCATCCCAAAGCTGTTACGTCTATGGCCACATTCCAATAACTTTAGTGGGAGTTTCATAGTGCCTTTCATTTTCTCTAGTGCTTTTCTCTACGAGAGCCTTCCATTCATGACAATCTGACAAATGAAGACTGCAACGATATCAAGATTAATTTGCATAGTTGATACAAGATGTGTAGATCATGTTAGTTTTTGCCATGGCTTTAATAATCAARTATGCTTTTTTTGTAGTGAGCAACACCAAAAGGTCATCCTGCCCTACCGYAATTCATTTTTCAAAAGATGAGAGTTTTTGCCTCAGTTATATGCTACATTTGTCAGAGCAACTGAATTTCTTGGAAGCAACATTTAGACAGTCCTCAGGGTCCAGTGTTAGATTCTACATTGTTATTTTATCGAAACTCTGCCAAGAAGTACAAGCACAGCATTCGAGACCAAGAAGTTTAGTCACATTAACATTTTTATTGTTATTCATCTATAAAAATGGGATTTAACATAAAATACTTTTGGAAATGACTACTTCATTTTCCATTTCCCATTTTCCTACGAACTGCACTTAAAGTCATCTTTCATCTTCTGATAGAATTTTTTTTTTTTTTGTGGAGAACACATTATTTTTCCACCATTTAAAAACTGGAGTCTGTTTTGTGTTTGTTACATATTTGCACTCCTGGCAAGCATTTTCTTGCAACTTAGCCCTTGTTTACACAAAGAAGAAGCAGTTAAATAAAACACAAGAAAACTTGCCTGCTACTATCTGTCTCACTAGTAAGATTGCAAAAGAAATCTAACAGACAGGGGATGGAAATCTTGGAAAACAGAATTTAATCACACTCGATGAAAGTATTTTTGCATAGCTTGCATTTGTGAACCTACCTCAGAAAACAGTAAGGGCTTCAAGAGATTTAACAAAAAACAAATAAAAAGTATTAAAGCAGTGTTAAACTATAACTAGTTACTCTCTTTCTGCAAAATTCCAGATGATCAMGGGTTATTTCTGGCAAACAGACAAACACACAGTTTTAAGCTAGATACACTACCTAACCTATGTAGATAGCACCTATCTCAAGCAGACTTTAAATTTATTCTAAGTACATATTAATGTATGTTTGTATAATGTATGTTTGCAGCATACTGCACCTGCATCCACACAAACTGTACACAGTATAAACAAATATATAAACAAATGTATTGCAAGAAGCTAAAATTTGCTTTGTTAAAAAGAACAGAAATAAGATACACCTTTTCATAATCACTTTGTACTTACTATTTAGTTGAATCTGACAACTGATATTCCCGTCGTCGGTCATAACACTCCTGGATTCCAGGGTCATTCCATAAACTTCTTATCGCATCTACGTAGGGGTTCTCAAATGTTGACACCTTCTCCACATCCACTTCACGAACTAACTGTGCATGAGCCTAATTTGAAACAAAGAAAACAGTAAAATGTACTTCATCTTCTACAGTCACAGACAGGTCATATACTATGAGCACAATTATTAGATTACTTTTTCAGACYGGTCACTTCACCAATGCCTGTATACAATTTGAAAATCAGCTACTGTGAAGAAGGTTGTAAAGATGGAAATGGAAATAACAGATATAGTGAATCCCAGAAATGAGAAAGATMAATATATTTTTTGTCTTCATGCCACTGGACACTGTCAAACGATACCTACCATCCAACCTACAAGTTGAACCACTACAAGYTGAGCCACTGCTCAACTCACTGCCCACTGGCCTGCTTGGACAATAAAGACAGAAAACACAAGGGAAAWCTGTATCATGCAAAGATGGGTATTTTTTGTATTTGGGTGAATCAACYTGGTGCTGAAAGAAAACAATAATGTTCATTAATTAAAGACTTGAAAGAAAATAGTAAATGAACGGGAATACAAAAGAATACCAAATGAAGTATTAATTAGCAATGGTAAGTTGTGTTCCAACATAGAAAAAGAGTAACAAAGAGGATACRAAAGAAGGGAAAATTAGTAAATGTGTGTATAAACCCAAACATCTGAAATAAGTCAATCCTAATCAAGTATTATACAATTCTTTGTATCAATGATTCCTTTCCTAAAGTCTTTTCATATAGTTTCAAAGTCTTTACACACTTCCAGCTATGTCTTCTGGTTTCTCAGGAGTACCATACTTTCTYGTAGATTACAGCTTCTTTCTTTCTTGGAGTATTTTTCAGTCAGTATGTTTTTTTGGTTTCTAATTTTGGGTCATAGAGCCAGAGATCTAAATAAGGGACGTCATTTATTGGCTTAATTCTTCTGTGATTTACTCTGGTAAATTCAGAAGTAATTATACTGAAACCTGATGATATGCCCAAGTATAACTTTAACATAAGAGAAGACTTAATCATGCACAATAGGTTCTGTCAGGGCTGCTAATTGGCTTTAGTTTCCTGCCACCAATACAACAGGAAATCTGGAACATCACTTTGATATCCAGAGCTACCTGCATGAAAAACCTGAGGACTCACCACGATCCAGTTTCTGCAGAATAAGCTATATCCATAATTTTCATCCTCACTAATACTTTTTGGCTACACTCCAAAATCAACATTACTGAAGCAAAACACTTAAGCTCTTGTCCGTTAAGCTACTACAATTACAAAACTAGATTTTTTTTAGGTCACTAACAGTTGATATCAGAGCGCTGAAACAAACAAACACACAGAAACCAGAAAAAGGGGGACAAACCTGACAAATTCTGCAAGTGTCACCAAGTTCAAACTGGTCATMACGATGCAATTACTAGGCCTGCTTGTTCCACGGGCAAAAACTAGACAGCGTAACTGACTGCTCAGACTGAAACATTTTTTTGACAATGGTTGTTCCTTCATTTGCTTTTCAGGATATAAAAACACCTGTAGTAATTTAATTATTATTTGCTAAAGCAATTCACTTTGGCAAAGTGCACCTACCCTGGATTKTTGTTTCCTCCTTGATTCCTACCAGTATTTTAAATGTTATCCCAGACAAAGCAAAACGGAATTTCCTGGAATATCAACAGATTCTGAAACTAGGAAATAAACGAGCACGAGAAGACATCAAAATCTATCTCCTTTTGTCTTTCTTTGTCATTCCCCTCAAGAAAACTMCTCATAGTGTTAAAAAAAACATTGGTACTAATCCTGAGCTTGATTAGCATTATGGATTTACAGTCTTATAGTCTTTATGGTCCTTCTATACCTATTATTTAGCACATAAGCACCACTAAAAATATTTACTTTTTGAGTCTCTAGCTGCCATGTTGTTAATTTCCTCAATATTATCTGGTAATTTTCTGAAAGCACTGTTGTTCCTGAGTAGCTACCCGGGTCAGCAAAGGACCAGTCATCATTCTCACTGTACATGAGCACCAGTCATTTGGAAWCTGATGATAGGCATGACTGGTAAATTTGGAAAAGGTTCGGATTTTTACAGTCATTTTAATATGGTCTCTGTGATTTTTCCAAGCTAGCTTTCTAACCTACCAGAGGGAGCACACACAACTTCACAACCCATTTCAAAAGAATTCCCTCACATAGTCTTAAATTTACAGGAGAAAGCAAGATAACTGAGACACAGTGGGCACAATCCCTTGGCACCAATGCTCTCTATTAGCTGTTTTTAAGATTCCCATTCAAAGCATCTCTTGCACGGCAGAACTTACCTTAGTAAATGCTTCCTATTTTTCAACAGGATTTCCCAAACATATGAGGAGGAGAAGCCCTGTGTCTGCAGCTCCTGGCTGTCAAGAGCTCACCCATCAAGCAGTGTGATACTGCTCTGGGTGGCCGAACCCACAGCAGCTGCCTAGCCCACAGTGATCCCACCCCAATGGGAATCGTCACAGGAGCCTTTGCTGGGGCTATGGTCTGGCCTTCAGGGGACTGGAAACCCCAAATTCCTTGAGGATGTGGCTACTGCTTATAGTTGAAATGSTAACATATGCCAGCCAACCCAGAGTCATGAGTCATTTACAGGTCTAGACCCTGATGACTTGTGACCTTCATCTGTGGTTCATGCAAATACTTTGCCTTATTGGGCTGCAGAGCACGGGAGGAAATCTTCTCCCTCAGCTCTATTAATGCAAAATGCATAACAAATGCAAAAGCAWAGACCTGCACACACTTGGAACAGGTATAACCTTTAAGGAGAGTAACTCTGAGGAAGACTTCACTGTCTCAGACATGTAACAGCAGTGTCAGAAAACAGAAATCTCTGATCATCACCGCAAGGAATGAAACTTTTTTTCACAAAGTGTCCTGAAAATGAAGGCTGAAGAGGACTGCATGTTTTTTTTCCTCTAAGTAAGCCTAAAGCCCTGAATGTATAAGATTAAACAGGAAACAGCTCTCATAATGCACTACACTTAAGAATGGCATTTAATTAATGAATATATTGCTGGAAAGAGGCTTCGTATAATGCTAATCACTGCAGTCACTTAAAAAGGTCAATAAGGTATTAAACTGCCTAATACTAATTTGTCATCTTTTCCTATTTTACATCCCAACTTTTGAGAAGAAAAACATAGCATGTGTTCTTTGAACAAGAATGCCACAGACACATAACAGTATCTAAAACTTTGAGTTTGCATGAAATAAGGTTACTGTTGTCTGGTAAAATGCTTAGAAGAATAGGTCCTAAACTGTGACTCATCAGCACACCACAATAAAACAATGAATTAAGGATTGAAGCAAGGTATCCTGTTCGCAAAGTTCACAAATCTGTTCTCCATTCAAAATGTATCATTAAATTCTACTTTTAATATTTTGAGTCTTACATAAAAAAAAAAACAGAATAACGGAAAAAAATGTCATGTCTACACCTATGAGATTTAGTATTTTTCCCTGAGCTGAAATAATGCTTTTGAAGCAGCTGAATAAACCAGAACTTTATTTTCTTTATTCTGAGATCTGAATGTTCTCGTTTTCCTATTCATTAAGATATATCAGATATAAACAACAATAAACGCTTTGCAATTTCTGTAGGGTTGTGACCAGAATCCATGCAAGATTTTCCTTGCTTTTTATGAACCACCCCCCTCCTGTGAAAAGCAGGCACCAGCTATGAAACGGAGGGAAGGGGATAAGGACTCCAAAGGGCAGGCGTTGGCACAGGAAACCGCTGCCCCTTTCCTGAACTAAACTGTGAGTCGGGAACGGGACTGAATTTTCCCCCTCAGAAAACCTCTGCGACAGGACTTCAGACGGGACTGAATTTTCCCCCTCAGAAAACCTCTGCGACAGGACTTCAGACCAGCTAATGGTCAGACAGCGGGAAAGTAGAAAATCAGGGTATGAAACTAGGAAGCAGGTCACTGCTCCCTGCCGTCAGGAGCTGCAAGCRGGGCTGCCTGTGGAGCCCCAACAGACTGAACTCGTCTTAGCAGGCGGACAGTCCACGAAGGCAAAGCACCCAGAAAAACCACCTGCCCCTTTCACTGCACTGTCGCTGGCTTTGATCACTAAAAAGCACTTACCGCACAGCTCTTTCCTGTATGATCAAGTCATAAGAGGGAAAAAACAGAGTCCCAATGCACACAGAATGGAAAAGACAAAACAAATTACACCATTTTCTTTTAGTAATGTCTTTAGCTTCTTAATCTGCATAATATAAACTCATGAATAAAATACATATTCTGCAAGTCATGCATGAAGTAAAATCAGTTATTTAATGGCAGTAATTTTTAAAAAGTTGGATAGGAGCTTTAGTAAGTCCATGTCTAACAACTACATGTACAAACGTCCAGTATTGTTTTATAGACTCCAAAAATAATGGAAAACATCAACACAAAGATATGACATGGCTCCTGACCTTAGAAGTTTTTAATTTAATTCAGGACTAAATGGCTTCCTGTCCATACTACCAGGCAACGTTCYTCTATTATCATATTAACACGCAGTTGCAACTACACATATTTATATAGACAGGCCTTACTTACTCTTGCTTAAAAAGCAAGTTATAGCTTATATTAAGCACCTCTGAYTTTAATGTTTTACATTTTGTTTAAACCTAGGAGGACATACACCACAGCATACCTCTCAAAATCTCCCTCAGTGAGAAATAGCGTCGCAGCAACAGCAGAGGTCTGGCAGTCCTCTTTGCCAGAWAAGTCTGCTTTCTGGTAGGTAAAACCTAACTGCATAAGCCACAGGGGCTGGGAGAGCCCTGAGTAACGCTGGAAGAACGAGGGGGCTGCAGCTGTAGGTCGGGATGTGACAGAAATCCAGGTACCGCACAGCACACCGGAGCCGCCAGAGCTGCACCCTCCTCTACAAAGGCTCTATACTTCTAACCATTTTCTAACCATTTCTGTAGCTTTTATTTTCTCTGCTCCTGGACTGAAGAGCAACAGATGAAATCAATGTGGCTTTTTCTGGAAGGGTTAGGGGACTACACAAGATCAGCAAATGCTYGGAT